TATATATATATATATATATATATATTATACATATACAAAATAAGTGAGAGTAAACAAACCAGCGAACAAACGAAGGGGCGGCAGGCGATGAGGTTTTGCTGCTGGGCTGTCTAGACACCCCAAAGCAGAGAGAGAAAGAAAATCAGATAGATGCAAGCAGCAGCAGCAGCAGCTGCTGCTGCTGCTGCTGTTGCTGCTCGTGTTGTTGTCGCTGCTGCTGCTGCTGCTACTGCTGTTGCTGCTGCTGCCGTCACTGCTGCTGCTGCTGCCGTTTTGAATACTGCTGCTGCTATCCCTGCTGCTGCTGCTCTCCTGCCTGCTGCTGTTGCTGCAGCTGCTGCAGCTGCTGCTGCAGTTGCTGCTGCTGTTGCTGCTGCAGCAGGCTGCGCCTAGTTTATAGTTTGCTGCTATAATAAGCCGCAGTTCAATGACGACCTCGTGGTGTCTCGGTGGAGGGGGAAATGAAGACATTTGTTTTTTGTTTTTTTTTATTTGCTGCTTGCAGCAACCACAGCAGCATTTCAGGTGTACATACACCCCAGCTAAACAAAAAGAAAGAAGAAACCGCGGGATCAACGGAGTCGACTCTTCTATCAATTGAGTAATAAAAAATAAAAAAAAACAAATAAAAATATTAAACAATAAAGAAAACTCCAAAAAAGCCCCAAACTATGCTTGCATGCGATCCGCTACAGCAACAGCAGCAGCAGCAGCAACTCGCGCTGCTGCTGCTGCTGCTGCTGCTGCTGGTGTTGCTGCTGCTGGTCTTGCGTCGTGGATAGTAAGATGGCATTTTAGTTGTTTAAATTAAATTAAATTATTTAATTTAATTTAATTTAATCAATTTAATTAATTTAATTTAATTTGTTTTGTTTGTGCTCAACGATCCCCCAGCCGTTTTTTTTCTTTCGCTGTATATACAGAGGGAGAGAAGAATAAACAAACAATTAAATTAATTAAATTAATTATTTTAATTAATTTCCTCAATTAATTTAATTAATTAATTTAATTATTTGTTTGCGTGCAGCGAATGGCAACACCACCGCCCCCGCAGCTCAGCGTGCTGCAGTTGTCGTCGGCCCTACAAAATATGCGTATAGAGACTTAAATAAAATAAATAAATAAAATAAATAAATGAAATAAAAATATAAATACAATACAAATATATATATGTATATATATATATAATACACATACTTGTACTATAGTACAAATATAACCCTATACATAAGTACAAGCGTATGCATATGTATGTATACATATATATAATGCTTGCTCTCCGTTCTTACACAGCGACAGTAGCGAGCTGCAGCAGTGAAGCCAAAGACACGAGCTAAGAGACCCCAACGTAGGTGACCTCGCCCCCCTGTCTCCAGGCATCCTGGGCGTTCAGCGCTGCGCAGCTCCGTGGCTTGCAGGGGAGGATGCGGTGGAGTTGCAGCGCGCGTCGCCGCCGCTGGCGATGCATGCAAGCCCCACGTGTGGCCGCAAGAGAGCTTCAACTGAGCTTAGTTTACCCCATGCTTTACCTCTGTCTACGTTTATATAGCCTGTGCTTTTTGCTTGCATACAACCCACCGAGGGCAAGTGAGTGCCCCTGTGCTAGCTCGAGAGAGGCCACGCTACATCTGCCCCCCGTCAGCGAAAAGCGCTCATCCTCGTACGCGGACGTCTTTCGTGAATGTGAGATGGTTGCTGTGTTATTTCTTCTGCAGCTTCTAGTGCTGCTGTTTATCTTGTCATTGATGCTGCTGCTGCAGCTGCGCCTCACCCTTCGCCGTGCGGCGTTTGTTGCTGTTCGTCGGCTTCTGCTGCATTTGCTGCAGCTACGGGTGCAATAGCTGCTGCGTCAGCATGCTCGCCTGTATCGGTGCATCCCTGCTAGACACCAGTCCATGATTCTGTGTACATGTTTCTGATTGAGAGGCTGCAGTTGCGCGGGCTTGCCTTGGCGCCGCGTAGACGTACCTCCATCTTTTCCTTTATTAACAGCAAGAGGGGTTCCGCATACGTATATGCATACGCTTCCTTCAGCAAGCCGGTTATGATGAAAATGCTCACACAAAAGAGCACAGAAATGCAACAGCGATACACGGAATTATATATATATATATATATATATATATATATATATATATATATATATATATATATATACATATATATATATATATATATATATTACATTTGCGTCTTTCTGTTTCGTGTATGTGCAACGTAAACCCGAGACAGCATCAGGCCGCCAGCCCCTCTGCATGCACAAGGAAGGTGTACGCACACCGGAGAGCTACTGGGATGTGCTCAAGGTGCTGCTGCTGCTGCCGTTTCCGCTCGTTGTGCCTGTTTCATTCTCCTTGTATGTGCTGCTCGTCTTGCCGCACAAATCTTCTGGCATCGTACTGCTTCAGCTCTTCAACAACAGAGTCATCGTGCTGCTCTGAGGCTGCATGCGGTTTGCTTCTGCTTGAGCTGCTGACCCTGTTGCTGCTACTGTTCCACTACAGGGTCATCGTGTTTCTGCATGCAGCGTGCAGCTAGTTGAGTAACTGCTCGCGTTGCTGCTGCCGTAGGTGCTGGGGTCACCTCGATGCAGCCGTTGCTGCTTCTCCTGTTCCTCAACTCCGAACTCGTTGCCGCTGTTGCTGCTTCTGCTGCCGCCCAGCTCATTGCTGCTGTTGCTGCCGTCACTGCCGCTGTTGCCTCTCATCCAGCGGCCGTCCGGCTCCTCCGTGTCTCGGCCCGCGGTGCCGTCCCCCGGCAACTGGGCTTTCTAGGGCTAGCTGTAAGGGAAAAGCCACATCAAACAATGTAGAATCAAGACGAAACTATCATCACAGCGCCAATGTAAAGGCGAGATACACAAATAATGCAATGTGCAGCTGCATGCAGCTGCACATTGCATTAGCTGCATGCAGCAGAGGAGACTGACGGGTTCATGGCTAACGTGAGATTGTTGCTGCTGATGCCAGTGCTACAGCACGCTGCAGGAAGAGAACGAACACAAACACAAAATAAATGAAGAGAAGAGTGGAGTGGGTAGCTGCAAGCAACTGAAGACGATACAAAGGGCCCAGTCGTTGCAACCTGGCTACTGCTGCTGAGCGCGTCGAAAAAGGGCAACGGGAAAAACAGCCAAGAGAGAAGAGAGAGAATGCAAAGCGGGCCTGCTGGGAACCCAAGACGGTGGAGACTTTCCGGTTGGCTCAGCCTTTGAGCTGCTGCTCTAGCTATTAAAACATGCTTGCACACGCTGGGCTGGTTGTAAGAAACTCCCCTATAACCGACCAGCTCAGAGGAGTTTGTGGCCATAGGGATCATAGCTCATCGGAACTGGACCCCACCCTCATCAGGGGGCGCAGAATGTTCGTCTCTGCGTCTTGTTCCCCAAAAGGCAACACAGACGCAGACAATAACCCACCTGCGGGTTCCAGTGAGGGTGTAAATCCGCTCACATGATGGGATTTTATGGAGCATGAATAATGGAGGTACTGCGGGCCAACGAAGTCTATTATGTCTGGTCTGGGACCTCAGTCGGTCTCTTGTTATGTCTGATTTCGTTCACGTTAATAACGAATACGACGCGTTAGTGTAATATTTCAATAAGAATGACTGAATAATAGGTTATTCCTCTGAAAGTCATTTGTGGTGCACATCGATCAATCCCTACTGTCGCGTATAACGGGCCGGCGGGCATAAGCTGACCTACAGACTCAGGTAACTTCACTGAGCTACAGAAACTCAAGAGCTTTCTTTAAGTTTTGTTGCGCAGGCTTCGGGATGGATCTGTTCGTCTTCCGAATCAGATGAAATGTTTGAGTTTCTGTAGCTCAGTGAAGTTACCTGAGGATGTCTTGTTTTCTTCTCAAAATTAGTTCTGCTCCCGCCAGTTCTTGGCCCAGCGCTGCAGCGCTGGCTACAGCAGGCCAGCCAAGGGGAGCTTGGGGCCTTAGGGGGCATATGGCCTTCGCAAATTGACCTCACTCTCGTCAGTGGGTGCACCAAACAATCTCTGCAGCTCTGCGGCTCGTGGCCCCCGTGACAAACACAAGCGAAGGCAAAACTCCAACTGGGAGACCTAGTAAGGAACCGAGTTCCCTAACACGGTGGGGTGTTGTAAATCCAAAACAATGGAGGTAGTGCGGGCCAAGGAAGCTGGTAATATGCGCGGCGTGCCCTCATTCCCTTACGTTCTATGCCGGGACCCGTTCAAGTTAATAAACACTAGTATGCTTTAGTGTTATATTTTCAACAAGCCTGACATATTAAGAGGCATTTCCTATCAATCCCCGAGGCTCGTGCGTCTCAGGCATGGATGATCGTTTTGCTCAGTAAAGTGCCTGCCATATAAGTTCTGCCGACACCCCACCAGACTGCTTAGAGCTCCTCACGCAGCCGATACTTCTGCTCCCTTTTCGTGAAGAAACTTGAAGAGCATGTGATTATTTGGCACTCTTACGAAGTGTTAGCTTGATGGGAGAGCACCACCTCTACTGCTCTGTCGCTGGCGTTGGTCGCGAGGAACAAGGGTTTATCAAAGCCAGGGAGCGCGAGTACTTATAATGATCTCAGGTGGGCGACGAGGACTCTGGCAGTTTCATCTGTTTATCCGGCCAAATGAACTGCTTGCCCTTCTTAAAAAGATCAGGTAGAGGGGCACCAATGCGACAAAATTCAAGAACGGAGTTGCGGTAGTGTGAGGCGAAGCCGAGGAACTTCTGAACGTTCGTGGGCGTACACAGGTGGAGCGGCCACGTCCAAATCGCCTAGATGGGTCTGTTTGAACCCCTACCGCAGAGACAGGGAACCCTAGGAAACTGATTGTTTGCATAAAAGGCGAACAGTTCTGCGCTTCCATGAACCAGTGCTCCTCGTGTAGTCGTTGCAGGGCACGCTGGATGTGCTGCAAGTTCGCCTGCACATCGCGGCTGAACGCGAGCGCATCATCAGTGTATATTAACGCCCACTCCTCCGTGATTGGCCCGAAGAACTCGTGATTGGCCCGTTTCTGCAGTTCGGCAGCTGCATTCACGACTCCGAATGGCATACTGTGCACTGCACCTTGACGGCGCGGGTGTGGAAGCTCGTCTTGCCCCTGTCCCCCGGATAAATTGGGATATGCAAAAGTGTCTCAGCGAAGTGAAATGCTGAGTATACCGCTAAACCCTGTAATCGGGAAAGAATTTCGTCGATCCCGGGCGTCGGAATCTTTTGTTTCACTGGACGTTTTTTTAGGGGCTTGAAGTCGACTCGCATGCGCCATGTCTCGTCCTTTGTCTTCGCCAACACCGGATTGTCTCGAAAGGCGTTCGTTGACGGCTAAACCTTGCTCTTCCTTAAACGTTCATCCTCCTGCCGCTCAGTTTCTTCCTCACGATGTGAGGGTTGCCAGTAATTTGGAACGAAGCGTAGGGCTGCGCCAAGAATAAGTTTGACGCAGTGCATTGAACGTCCAGAATGTTGCCTGCCTGTCGATAGCTCTTGTTATTGAGTACATCTGATAACGATTGCTCCAATTTCGCCCCCTTTCTGGGGTTTCTCGAGTGATAACTCGACCGAATTCCCTAAGACTGCGTTCTTCGCAAGACCACCGCTACGAGGTGCATGCATAACTCCGTCGTCACCCGTCACTGCGTTGGCACTGCATGGGAGCCTCCATGCTCCGCTTTTCTGGCGAGACAGTTTCTACTCCACCGATCATAAAAGATGCGGATCCTGTCGGGAGGCCTGAGAGGTGCACACTCGCATCAGTTACTGGTAGAAAGACCTCAATAACATCATCAGTGCATTTGCGCCTTCCACCGGGTCACGCCCCGCACGCCTCGGATTATGCCTTGGTGAACTGGTCCAATATAGAAGTCTCTTGCCATTCTAATGCGCCCCGTTTTGGAACTATGAGTGCATTTTACGCACATAGTGTTGGAGGTTGTTGTATCCTGCATACACACCGCGAAGCATAGCCTCAGCGACTGCTCCAATGAGTAGACGGGTAAGTTACGTCTCCTTGCCTTGATTTCCGATATCATATTCACTTCGCATCCCGTTTCACGTAGGGTTAGCAACAGCTGGCCGTCAACACAAATTTGTACATTCACGGAATTGAATAGAGGTGAAACTGCGCATGTGCGCGTCATCCTTTTGGGCTGCATCACTGCGCCGCACGATGTGTCGGGACCCGGGCATTTACCTAATCGCCTAGTTTGTTGCCACTGCGCTTCTGTTCTTGGTTCGGCTTCACTTGTTCCCTAGCCGGTTTTACATGTCTACAAACTCGAAATATCTTATCGTTTTTACGTCGAATTTGGTTGCTGCTGACGGTTATCGCTTTTAATCCCTCTCCGGGCCGGCCTACCGTTCACAGCCGCAATATCCATAGGTTCTAGTTCGTACCCGTCCCACACGCGCGCCTTCTTCCGTACTAGCTAGGGCAGCAGAATTAGCATCTTTTCTTTCTCGTATACGAAGATACTCCATCAATTCAGCGAATTCAACTTTTTCTCCGCTTAATTCCCTCTGTGTTGCCCAGCCAGCTACCGGTTTCCTCCCCAGTGAGGGCAGCCCTGCAATGGGCCGCTGACACTTAAATTCGGCGTTAGCAGGCAAGTTTCTGTTCATCAAGGACTGGCGCTGTTCAACATTCTATCGGCATTTCGCCTTGCTTAAGCTTTCGTTATCGCGCCATAGCCTGTGCCCGCGCTGACCTTATATAACCTTGCATCACAGAGCATCACGGAAGGCTTGCATAGACCTGGTGTGCTCTGGGAAAGCTGAACAGTCGCTTAACCGTAGCCACCATCATCGGGCATCCCCGTCTAACAGAAGCTACCAGTAGCGGTTCTACATCTTCCGAGATATTTGACGGCTGAAGTATGGCTCGAGGGAACCGATAGACCCCTCCACCACTTCTGCGTCCCGGCGCACGTCATGTCGCGGTGGTACGCGCAAACAGAGGCATTCTTTCTGAATTGCCTTCGGCGTAAGTGCACTTTTCCCAGGATCTTGTGTCGCTTGATTAGACTGGGTGAGGCTGCAGGCCGAGTATCACTCCCCCAAATAAGGTCAAATCAGGATCAATCTCCATCGGGGAAAAAGGAAACGGCTAACGGTTGACGATTTCAGCTTTGCTCGAGACCACGTGCAGGGTGGGTCAGTTGCTCGCAGCTGCCGGTCGAACCATGCGGTGATACCAAATATAATGCGTGCATTCCCGCTTTACTCAGGGACAGAAACGAGCTGCAATGAAACCAAATACTCGGAGTAAGAGTTTCCGCAGAGGCAGCTGACTCCGCCCGCCTCTCCCCAGGCATCCTGGGCGTTCAGCGCAGGGCCCTGGCTTGCGGGGGAGGATGCAGCCCAACCGAGGTGAGGTGTGCTGAGGCTCCAGTTGCAGAGCACCTCACCTCGCCGCAGCTGGCGACGCAAGCGAGCCTCACGTGTGGTAGCAAGAGAGCTTCAACGAAGCTTCCTTTCCCGCATGCTTTACCTCTGCATGCATTTATATAGCATGCAGCATACCATGCAGCCTACAGAGGCCAAGTGAATGCTCCTGTGCTAGCTCCTGGCAGACCATGCGTGTGTATGTATGTGCGTATGCGTGTCTATACAAACATATATATCTATTATGTATAGAGCTAGAATATACTTCTATGTGGATACTAATATACACCGTAATGCATGCAGGCGCTCTGCGTGTTTTCTACGTCGTCATTTTGATTTTCGTTTTGGTCTTCAGGGGGCTGGATACCCGTTGCTACAATATATATATATATATATATATATATATATATATATATATATATATATATATATATATATATATATATATACGTGAATATGCGTATATGCATAGGTATATATATGTGTACATACATATACATAGCAAGAACAACACTTAGCAGCAGCAGCAGCAACGGCAACGCCAGCAGAAACAAAAGCAAGAACAACAGTTTGCAGCAATAGCAACAGCAGCAGCAGCAGCAGCAAAACCAACACCAAGAGGGACCTAAATGAACTTATATCCCTAACAGTTATCTTCTTAAATTTAAACCAAATTGACCCTAAAACGTCAGCAGTACCAAAACGTGTGATACAGCAACAAAAGCTGCTGCTGCTGCTGTGCTGCTGCTCCTGCAGCAGCAGCAAGAGCTACTGCCGCAGCTGTGCTACTGCTGCAGAAGGGACAAGAGCTGCTGCTGCAGCTGTGCTGCTGCTGCAGCTGTGCTGCTGCTGCAGCTGTGCTGCTGCTGCAGCTGTGCTGCTGCTAGTACTGCTCCAGCAAGAGCAGGTTTAGACTTCTTTTTGCTGCCGTGAAAGACAAGCCTCAATATAGTCGCAACTGAACGGCATTGCTGCTGCCTTGCTGCAGCAATCAGCAGCATCAGCGCATGCAAGCTCCCCCTAGACACAGCAGCAGCAGCAATAGCACCAACAGCAGCAGCAACTCTAAAAACGCCCGTACTAGCAACCGCAATATCGGCAGCATCACAAAGGGCAGGATCAGCAGTAGCACCAGGAAGCACAGCAGCAGCAGCAAACGCAGCAGCAGCAAAAGCAGCAGCAGCAAAAGCAGCAGCAGCAAACGCAGCAGCAGCAAACGCAGCAGCAGCACGACTCACTGCCTGCTTCAGGGCCTTGTCTAGGCGGGGCAGCAGCAGCGGCTGCTGCCGCGCGACCGCCGCCCGCAGCTGAGGCAAACAAACACCGCGGCAACAGCAGCAGCAGCAGCAGCAAATGCAGCAGCAGCACCAAATCTAGCAGCAGCAGCGAATACAGCAACAGCAACAAATTCAGGAAAGGCAAACAGCGCCGTCACAGCAGATGACACCTCGCAGCTACGACAGAAGATGAAACAGACACAACAGCAGCAGCAGCAGCAGCAGCAGCAGCAGAAAAAGATTCAAGTGCAGCAGCAACAGCAGCAATATGTTTCAGTGCACCGGCAGCAAAGTTTGCTGCAGCAAATACCTGGTCTAGTGCTGCTGCTTGCGTTTGCAGTTCTCTCCTCGCATCTTGCTGCTTTCCCAACGCGCCATCTGGTGCTGCTGCTGCTGCTGCAGGTCCTGCTGCTGCAGCACCTGCTGCTGCTGCGACTTGTTTCTCCAGCAGCACCACTGCTGCCTCGAGCCGCCCTTGCAGCAGCAGAAGCGGCAACGCAGCCAACCCGCCCGTCTCCTCCTTCAGGCGATCGTGCAGAAACGCCAGCTGCAGCAGCAGCAACAGCAGCAACACAAACAGAAACACAGATAACAGCAGCACAAACATAAGCAACACGCGCTGCTGCTGCTGCATCAGCAGCAGCAGCAAATGCGAGGGAGAACGGGGGCAGCAACGATGCAGCAGCAGTCATCACCACCACAGGTGGAGCGGCAACAGCAAATGCAGCACCATCAGCAACAGCAGAAACCGCAGCAGCAGCAAATGCTGCAGCTGGTTCGCCGCGATGGGGCAAAGAGTCTGTTCAGCTATAGGGGAAGGCTCCAACCCTAAACCCTAAACCCTAAACCCTCAGCAAGCACACTAAACCCTGCAAGAGCAAGCTGCTGATGCAGACTGCTGCTGCTGCTGCTGCTGCTGCTGCTGCTGCTGCTGCTGTTGCTGTTGCTGCTGTAACCACTCACGACTCTAGGGGGTACTCTTTGGGGGCCCAAGAGAACAGCAAGAGACTGAAGCTGCTGCTGCAGTGCTGCAAATAGCCGCTGAGCCTCTACACGCGCTGCCGCTGCTGCTGCTGCTGTGGGAGGTGCAGCAGCAGCACCAGCAGCTGCAGCAGCAGCAGCAGCAGCACCAGCAGGGTAATCACCAGGCTGCACCAAAGGACAGCCAGCATTCGAACGTTTCCAGTGTCTATCGAGGTGTTGCAGCAACTCATCCCAGCGATTCATCTTTCTCTGCTGCTGCTGCAGCTGCTGCTGCTGCTGCTGCTGTTGGTGCTGCTTCTGCTGCTGCTGCTGTATTTGCGAAGGCATGCTCGCGTCCTCCTGAAATCATAGAATGGCTCATACCCAAGCAATACACTCCATCAACAGCAGCACCAGCACCATCACCAGCAGCAGCAGCAACAGCCGCAGCAGCAACAGCAACAGCAGCAACAGCAACAGCAGCAACAGCAACAGCAACAGCAGCAGCAGCAGGAGATCTTACTGTCTGTGCGTTGCCTCTGAGGGCGCAGTAGACAAAAGCATGGAAGGGCCCCAACAAATTCAAGCCGCAAACAAAGCAAAGACAAACCGCAGCAGACAACTCACCAAGAAACGCCTGCAGCAACAGCAGCAACAAGAGCAGCAGCAGCAGCAACAGCGGCAGCAGCAAATATGGGGGCACAATGCAGATGCAGCGAAGAGGAAACCTGGTGAAAATGCTGCAGCACTAACAGCCAGCAGCAGCAACAACAGCAGCAGCAAGGCTGCTAACCACCAACAACACAAATACAAGTGCGCGCGTTCTTGCTGCTGCTGCCTCTGTTGCTATGGGTGCTGCTGCTGCTGCTGCTGTTGTTGCTCACCAAACGAACTGCTGTTTCTGCTGCTGATATGTGGGGCGCAAAGGCGGCCATGTCAGTGTAGGCAAGCAGACACTGGGCCCTGCAGCAGCAGCAGCAGCAGCAGCAGCAGCAGCACGCACAGTGGATGCTCTCGTTAAGCTATTGTTCTGCAGTCCTGCATTGTCTCTCCAGCAACAACAGCAGCAAACACAGCAGAAGCAGCAGCAGTAGTTGTTGCAGCAACAGCAACAGCAACAGCAGCAGCAGCAGCAGCAGCAGCATGTTGTACTGGGCGAGGGCGGCGATTTGCATAGCAGCAGCAGCAGAGACAGTTCGCTGCTGCTCCTGCTGCTGCTCCTCTTCTACTATGGGCAGCTGAACCTCCGCGTTGTCTTCTGGCTCGCTGTAGACGCTGCCGCCCCACACCTGCAGCAGCAGCAGCAGCAGCACCAGCAGCAGCGTTGAGAAGCAGTAGCAGCAGCAGGGTTGAAAAGCATCAGCAGCTGCAGCAGCAAGTGTTGCAATGCAGAGAATCAGCAGCAGCAGCAGCAGAGCAGCAGCAGCGAAGAAGCAGCAGTCACTGCAGCGTTCGAGGGTCAAGATGCCTACAGCTTGCTGCTCCTCCACCATATCGTGCTGCAGCTGCTCTTGCTGCAGCTGCAGCAGCAGCTGCTGCTGCTGCTTGGATGCTGATGAGGGAGACAGCAGACGCGTGTCTTCAGCAGCACGCAGCAGCAAAACCTGAGGTAGCCGCAGCGCCTCGACAGCAGCAAGAGGCAGCAGCAGCACAGGCAGGAGAGGGGGTAAGGTGACTGTACACCCCGGCATCTGCTGCAGCAGCGAACCGCAGCGAGCAGCCATTGCAGCAACGCGAGACAGAGCAGCAAGCGGGAACACTTCCGCGTCCGGTTGCTCATGCTCCTGCTGCTGCTGCTGCTGCTCGTGCTGCTGGGTGTCAGAAGGAAGAGGCAGCAGTGTTGATGCCGCTGTGTTCAAGGCACGATACTGCTGCTGCAGCGTTGCTGCGCTGCTCACGATGGGATTCAAGCACGGCTGCAGCAACAGCAGCTGCTGCAGCTGCTGCTCTGTCCTGCTGCTATTCTTTTGCTGCTGCTGCTGCTCCTGTATACGGCGCCACGGCTCTGCTGCTGCTGCAAGCTCCTGCTGCAGTGCTGCAGTGGCCTGCAGCAGCCAATGAGGGAAGGTCCCTGCTGAGTCTGTCCGCTGCTGCTGCTGCTGCTGCTGCTGCTGGTGCTGCGAGGGGAGCTGCAACCTGAATACAGCAAACAGGCGGCTCGCACCGGCACACTAGAGCAGCAGGCAGCAGCAAGCAGCAGCAACAAGCAGCAGCAGCAGCAGCAGCAGCAGCAGCAGGTCGGCTCACCAAACAGCGGCTGCATGCAGCAAACAGAGACGCGCAGCAGATTCACACGAGCCGCTCGCCTGCTGCTCCTCCAGCAGCAACTGCAGAAGCAAACACCACATGCACAGCAGCAGCACTGAATGCCAGCTCTTGAATGCAAATCATAGCATCAGAAGCAGCAGCAGCAGCAGCAGCAGCAGCAGCAGTAGAGGGACTCAGCTCACTGCAGCAGCAGCAGCAGGGGCGCCTGCATGCAAAGTACGAGCAACAGCAACGCGATGCAGCAGCCGCCGCGCTTGAAGCCCCGCTGCAGCAGAAGCAGCAGATACATCTGAAAGTGAGAGTGATCCTGCTGCTGCTACGACTGCTGCTGCCGCTGCTGCTGCTGCTGCCTCGGCCTCTGCTGCTGCCTGGACGACAGACGGTGCAGCATCAGATGCAGCAGCAACAGCAGCTGCTGCAGCAGCTGCTGCTGCAGCGCCGTTGCAGATAGAGAGAGGGTCACTCGCATTGTACATAGCTGCTGCTGCCGCTGCAGCTGCTGCGTCTGCTGCTGCTGCTGCTGCTGCCTCTGCATGCAGGGTCTGTGCAGCAGCAGGCCATTCCTCTCCCGATGCCGTGTCGGCTCCCTTTGCTGCTCCTGCTGCTGCTGCTTCCTTC